AAACGACCATTGCTGCAAATCATTTGAGACTCATTTGTGCACACAGTTACTCAAATTTACTGTCAGTCACTTTCTATAAAGTACAAAGTAAACTACATATTATAAAGCACCTTATACAAGTGTCCACAATGGTTTACTCATCTAGTCAGACTATCAGAATTTTTAAGACATACTAAAGGCACCATACGTTGCCATACCTTGAAAGAGGATGAGGATGGAGGCATGCTTTCATCATCTGAGTCATCATCCGAATCCCCGAGTTCATCAGCTTCCTGCCACTCCACATTTGGACCTCGGTGGAAGCGCAGACGAGTCCCTGAATAGCAACAGAACAATGAAGCATGACAAATTAGCATAAGTGTGCTGATGTTGCAGAGAGGATGCTAGAAACTGGATGCAATGCTGCTGTTTGGACACCAGAGGTAAGAACTGGTCTTCTTTGCAATTTGTGCTAATCCTAGTGGAAGAAAATGTTAACAAAATCATCCTGAATGAATCTCTAGTTGTCCTCAGCACATTTTGAAGGATTTTCCTGCCTTCATCAAGTGATGACATTTGAAAAAAAAAGTGAATTTTGCATTCATGTTTAAATATCAAGCAAACACTATGAGGAATTTTCAAGAGAATTGTTTCAAGTACTTCAAACGTTCACCATTAACTCCAACATGTGTGACTGAATTGACTTCTAGGTGTGTGTGTGTGTGTATGCACTGATGGATGCATATGGTCATGTGTTCTTATTTATGCACCTTTTAGGAAACAATGCCAGGCTGTGGAGGGCCAAGAGTGAGACCATGCCATGTCTTCATCATCAGAAAACGATGATGACATTGAGAAAACCCCAGACTCTGATTCACTGCTGGCCTGTTTTTGATAATTAAGAAAAAATAAATTACAATCATATCAGCATTGAGACAGGTTGAAAATCCATGCTGAGTCTGTCAGAATGAATGATTATCAGGTTTTTGAGTGAGAATGTTAGAAATGAAAGGTTACCCTGACACGCCTGCGCTCCCTGAGGTGGCCTCTGGACGGGTTGGGTGCACTACTGGCTAACGGGGGCCGGGCATAGGAATGTAAACTATTGCTGTTGCCAAAGATGTGAACTGGAGATGATCTGAAAAACAGTGATAATGTCACAAACATCAGTAGTTAGTTTGTTACGCAAGTAGATATATTTGTCACACACTCAAATGCACTTATATGCAGCTTTATGTGATTCTTTTGTAATTAAAACAGATTTTGCTCAGTCTTGGTCGTAATGTTGCATGCCCCAACTGCAGTTAAAAATCTGCACAATTTTAGGGGCTATTTTTGCTGTTGTTCTGCTAAACTGCTACTCTTAATCTTGTGAAATTACCCCCAGGTGTACTGGGGTGTACTGTTACTACATGTGTAAAGGCGTCTCTGTGTTTACATCACACATGCAGGCATTCCTTAAACATCTACAAACCTTTTGTGTGGGGCGTCCTTCAGTAGAGGGCTCTGAGGACTGGTGGCTATGTTGGCCAACTCGGCAAGCCAGTTGGTGCTAGGAGAGCAGCTGAGCTCCTGGTGAGACACTGCTCCAACTTGAAATAACCTCGGAGACCTCTGGTCCTCCTCCACCTCCTGCAGCTCTGGCATGTCGTCTAAGGAGATAATTCAGTACTTTTCATACACATATCTGAAGGGTTCGGTTTGCTTAACTACAGACTGCACATTCTTTTTGGCTAGTTTTACCATACTCCATGTGGCACCCAGGAGGGGAAGGCAGGTCCTCATTACACTTGAGCGGATCGAACGACTCGTCCATTTTCAAGATGTTCGGTTTCCTCTCTTTCAAAATAAAAAACGGGCTACTGTCCAGCTTACTCAGCATCCATCGTCATACTCTGACACATCATCTGGTTTTGGGCAAAACCAAAAGACAAAGTTAGAGCTAAAATGGAGCTACTGCTGTCATCTGAATCAGGGCTGTGCAATAACCAGTTGCACTTGAAGCCCTTGAGGCAACTGTTGTTGTAATTTTGCACTATATATAAATATATAAATAAAAACTGAGCTCCGTTGAATTGAAATATGAACTAAATCAAAATAAAGTCTTTGCAGTTATAAAGTTGTATGTATGTCTGCGTTTGTTTGTTTTTTTATGGTAATATGGTTTGAAACAATAATCAACTGAAAGAAAAACACGACTATAACACCCATGAGCTATCAAAGATCATCACCACAGCAAAACAAAAACACCACAGTTAGTACTGAATCATTGCATATCACGTATGACATCAATATTACGGAAAAGGCACAAAGCCTTTGGGGACTCCTTTGTCTCTGAATCGACACAGCAAACCTCTGTGAATAGTCATGTGACTCCCTGCGTGGAGGCCTTGTTTATAAACTTAAAAGGGTTTGACGCATGCGTACCAGAGCTCATTCATTCATAACTGCGCAGCGAAAGCGAAAAATACCAGAAATTCGTCTTAAAAAGTGTCTTACCGACGGTGGAAAACATCGATTTTGAAAACAAAAGTATGTGAGTGTCAATGACAAAGTAAAATATATCATTCTTATTGGGAATTTATATTGTGTTAATCGACAAACAATGTATGGAAAATCGTTAAAATATAAAGGTGACCGTGACTTCCTGAATTTAACACATTTAAATGAAAAACTGACGAACACTAACGGTCTGCCAACCGATCAAAGGCCGCAGGTTCGGAGACACCGTTGTTTCGACTTCGTAAGCAAGGATACACGAACAACATAATACCGTTCAGAAAACGCTTCAACAGTCTTATATTGTCGAAAAAGACGGTTGGGGACTCGGCCTGCTCTTTCTCCAACATTTAAATGCAGCAGTACTTTCCTTCGCTCAAACCTCGAAGCTCTGGGGTCTAACACTGTAAACAAAAGAATGTCAACAAGTTGAGGCATGACGCAACATCTTTGCCCCGTTCAAAATGAATGACACGAAAACCTATAGAAGCCTTTTGACGGCATTTTCACACTATTCAAAGCATATTCCACTAATTTGAAGACTTGTTTTAATACAAACAACTGCTGTCGGATGGGTTTCTTGCAACAAAAACAACGAGCGTCACAACGGAGAAAAAAAAAGCCCCACTGTCGATCTCAATCTTCCAGTCGACGTCAAATTAACGCGTGACAACCTCGCTTAAACATTATACAATAATTGCAAAGACACGAGTCTCACGTGGACCGAGTTAAAAATTACTTTCAACCGTTTATTTCTTCGAAAAAACTCACCAACTTCCCACTTACCAGAGCTGTCGACATCAAGTAACTCTGTGGCATTCGAAGGGAGGGATTGAATGGCTCCAGAGGAAGCTCCCCATTGGTGCGCAACAACGTCAACAAGACGAATTCGGATATTCTATTGGTTGATATGTTTGAGAAAAATAGGAGAGGTGTCCCCTAGTTTGTTGTTTATCCTCTCATTGGATAAAAGTACACGCCTGTTACTAGCCAGTAACAGCTGATTGGCAATAAAAGGAACAATACATGACTATTTTTTATCTGCAGTGTTGCAGTTACAGCAAGAATCACATGGACACATCGTTTTAAAGATTAAATTCTCTTTTTCGTAACGAAATAATCTCGTAGAAGATATGGGGACTGCCATGAAGAATGAGTGGGTCAGTAAGAAACTGACTCTTTCATTCTTTTAACAAATACTAATCGGAAGCACAAATACAAAAAAAAAAAAATTCTTTATTGACATGAAAAGTGAAACATACAGTACTTTTAGCCAGTATTGTGGGTATGCCTTCAAAAATGACCAGTCCTACGGGGAAGGGTGGGGGATAAAATCTGCATGTTTAACCAGTTAAACCATGTAAGCTGCAGACAAAATACAGAAGACCTCAGTTACTTTAAAAAGAGAGAAGTAGTAAGAGAGAGGACCCACTTTAGATTCCTGTTGAGCGTAAAACTGTAGAAGTTGTTGGCAGAGGTAGACAGCAAATATGGATGTCATAATAATGTATGTTTCACCTATGCAAAAACAGTATTACCTAAATTTTACATTGAAACACAGAAAAATGAGTTGCCTTAAGATGTTGCCTGTAATGACTACTGTCTTGTTGGGCAACTTATGAAGTTTAAAGTGGGCCTATTATAATAACAGTAAATACTCCGTTTTAAAATTATACAGCAATGTGTTGTGTGTTGTTACAAAACTATCAGCTATCTCTCTGAACTTTGCTTTTTTGAAAAAAAAAAGAGCATAGTACTCAGCTAACGGCCACAAACACTTAGCAACAGTGATACGTGGTTTATGAGCATGTATTCCAGGGACTCCATCTTATGCTAAACAGGAATGTATTTTTGTAGAAATTTTAGGATACTGCCAAGTTTTTTTGTTTTTTCATAATCAAAATGTCAAAGATTTTATCCTTTACAAACCATTTACCCTTTCTCAGGTTTGGGCCCTTTTGTACATGTGACGTTTGCTCGCACTTATCCAGTAAGAAATCAGCTTTGGCTTTTGACTTTGACACGCAATGTTTAGAAATTTACAAACGATATATATAATATTGTACGTGTGGCTATAACACTGTGGAGAAAATGTGAAAGTT